ATGCCAGGACACAACACTGACAAAGTCAGCCACAAACGATGGGATTTCGCATTTCAAAATTGCCGCATTGCCACGAATGACATAGGCTTTATTGACATCGGTATCGTATAATTGACTGACGACTAAACGCAAGAAACAAAAAAAATTAAAAAAATAGGAATCATTTGATATAAGATTTGCGACAGATTGGTTTTGTTTTGGAGAGAGAGAAAATGAAGTGTGTGGAGAAACCCTGCGAGTATCAAGGAGAGAGTGTGTGTGATTGGGAATTAAAATGGAAAATCCACGCAAACAGTTTAGACGACCCTAGATTAATTTGCTAGTAAATGTCAACACGATGCACATTCTGCTAAAACATTAAAACGAACCATAATCGTTGCTTGGATAGAAGACTTCGTCTTGGTCTGTGTGCCAGGACACCACTTCAACGAAATCGGCCACAAAAGACGGTATCAAACACTTGATAATGGCCGCATTGCCGCGAATCACATGCTCTTTGTTCACATCAGCCTCATAGTATTGTGCGACAACTGTTTTTAGTTTCAACCATTTCAGAAAAAAGGAATCGTTTTTAGTTTGAAGAAAAATATGCTTTTAAATGTCTTGTGCTAAAACCGTAATCAACGAAGAAAAAAAAACACAGTTTGAAATCCATTTTGTGAACTATTAACCGCATATTAATTTTATCGTTGCTGGGGACGTATGTGTGATAAACATACTGAACCTAAGTAAAAAAAAGTCGCGACTCTCACCAACGGCAGCACATATTAAAAACACATTTTTTTCGCCTCCAAAAGAGCAAATTATGTGTAAAATACGTCGTAAAAAAAACGTCGTGTAATTTATATCTTCCAGCGAAAATGAGCAACACTCGTCGCACTTTTTTTCTGGTTGTTGTTGTTGTTGTTGTTCTTCCTCTTCTCTCAATCATACAAAAGACCAACGACACAAATTTATCAGCGAAAATCGAGCACGTAGTCGGTCGTGGATTCGTTGAAATCGTGAATGGAACATTTCACAATCTGCACGTACAAAATATATGCGGTATGTTCATTTCTTGACGAGAACATATCATTTCTATGACATTTGAATTTATTTTAGCGAGCAATAAAGCCGAAAAATTGTCACAAATTTCACAGTGTTTTCACACAGCCATTCAATGAAAATCGATCATTTGGTCTTTTGCAAATCCACCATGTGGATCGAACGAAATAACACACACAAAAAAACGCACAACGAAAAACAAACAGCCAACGGATTCGTTGTTGTTTGTCTTAATTCTCACAGTTGGTTTTTGTTAGTTTCCTAATTTCTAAAACCATTTTTTTGTTATGAAGTATCTGTCCTTGTTCAGTTCGCTTCGTGTCAACCATAGTTTCATCGCATTGTTTTCTTTTTGTCTATATTACGAAAGCATTCGGTATCATGCGCTTGAATTAAGACAACATTAAATTTTATTGCTGCTTTAATTAATGTTTATGTGAGTTCTCAGTTAATATTTAGATCATTTTTCTCTCGCTCATCACGCTTTGTGACCCGTTTTGTTTTTGTTATGAGATTCATTCAGTTCGCTTCTGACAACTCGAATTTATCACGCGCGCGCGCTTATGGTTCAAGTGTCATATGCATCAAAACGGAAACTATGCTCATTATGAGGCAATTTTTGAGTGCAAAAACTATCTATCGATATCCAACAGAGCCTCTGTTACAGAGGAGAGCATCTCTAAGCCAAAATGATGAAATTCGTTGGTTGCCGTTTGTTCTTGTCACTAATCAGAATCGAATGCAAACATCTGGCATTTTGAATTTAGCCTCGCTATTTTTGTATGCCATCCAGCAAAAGGATTAAAATGTAGACAAAAAAAGACGAATGACTCACAATACAGTATGTGAATTATGGTGATCCATGACAAATGAGACGCGATTTTGTTGTAAGAACTGGCTTTGATAACCAAATGAATATTAATGTTAATTACGAATCGTATTGAAATTTAATGTGCATAGAATAAATTGAACGCTTTAGGTTGATTGCGAACGTTCGACTCGTTTTATGAACGAAAAATTGAAATTGAACCACGCAATAAAGTTCTGAATCAGTTCTTTTGTTGCCATTGGTTCGTTTCCGTACTTTCACATTTGATCTTTACCCAGAGAACAAATAGATTTCATAGCAAAACATTCCAATTTTTTTTTTCGTTGTTACAACCCATTTGAATGGACTATCCTGTTCATAAATGGAATGGGCTATCATCATAACAAAAATGACACAATATGCGCACTGACAAAAGCGATGGATGACATATTTGACATGCGAATGTTTTTACAACAACAACGACGACAAAAAAAATAATATGTTTGATGCATGTCATCAGTGTAGCATTGTGGAACAAGGAGAGACGCCAAAACAAAACCAAAAAAAGAAGAAGAAAAAAAAACTGCGCAAGCAGAAAGTAAAAAAAAAATCAGCCAGCAACGAATTGGTGAGAGCGAGATCCGAAAAAAAAATCAATGTGTGCGCAGGCAGTACACACAAAATCGGCCGTTTCGACTGAATAATTCGAATTATTAATAAATAAGCATATGGCGGTTGTATTTTAATTTCCTCTTATGTCGCCTCGCTTGTGATCGTTCGTTCTCTCTATCAACACAGACAAAACATGATTCAACCTCTTATTCTTATGTAAACATGGCTGCTTTCATACACTACAATGCAACGAAATTATAAAGATTCAGCAATGATTTCATGTTTGCTGTTTTTTTTCTTCTTCGTTTCATTGGTCGTACGATATAATTTTCGTTTTTTTTTTTCCTGTGGCTCGTCGGATATAAAATTCAAGAAAGAACGTTTGCTGAGCCATGTCCGTTGTGCAATATTGTATTGTGACTGTGAAATGGTGCTGTATGTGTGCGTGTGTCTTCGCTGAGCAAATCAAGCGTGGAATGTGCAAAAGTATATACTTGATTCGATGGTGCTCGACAACAACGACGGTTTCTTTTTTGGTCTGTGATTGAATTACTTGGAATTTGTTTTTTTTTAAATATGCAATTTTGATCGCATAACATTTCCATATGATGGATTGAATTAATGGGCTTGCACTTCAGATTTGTATTTTGGATTAAATATGGTGATCGAATGCCATCGTGATCGTGTGTCTTCTTTAGACACCATGTTCTTGAAATTCTGATCTCGCACACAATTACACCGCTTCAATTGAAGCAATCACATAACGATCGACCGGATTGCAATTTAGAATGCAATTTTAATGGTTTTTGGAATTCTTCGTGAAAATGTTTGTATGTGAACAGTGTACACCGCAGATCAAATTCATCACAGATCGGAAAAGGATGGATGGATGGATGAAAGAAGTGAAAAAATTCGAAAGTGTACGGAACGATGTACGGAATTTGTCAATGTCTGTTATTTTAGCGCAATTAAATTGATTCATCACTTTTCAGACAGACCGAAATGGGCACTTCTTTTTCCACGTTCATTCTCTGTCACGTTAATCGATCGATCATTCAACATCAACAATGGGCCACATCAAAGTGTTTGTGTGTAGTTTTTACGATGAATTAAATTATGTTTAGATGTTTAGATCGTAGCCAGAGCCTACTCACGCTTTGAACAGATTGAAATGATGTTTCGATGTGTTTTTCTGATGCGATCGAATGATAACCGATTCAAACAAAACCCATCAGTTGCGTGAAAATGGTGAAATGCCGAGCAACAACAGAAAAAAAGAGACTGAAGTGACGGTTGGATAGCAACCGGAGGCCGCGCCGATGTTTAAAAGGGCCATGTAAACAAATTTTCTGTTTCGCTTTGAATGATTTCAGTTTTATACGTTTGATTTGCTTCAGTTCGATTAAATGGCCGTTATTGGAGGCTATTTTTTACTCTGGTTGCACACACACATACACTCAAATGACTACTTATGTACGGCATATATTCCGAACCGGCCATTTGATTGAATTCAAAACCAACAATTTATCGTTGAAAGTGAGCACTTTCTACATCTTTTATGGTTGAATTGAATTTGCCATTTCATGTTCGGAATGAATGGAATGAATCAATTTTTGTTTCCGTCAGCCGAGTCGCTGTGAGTACAGCACACAAATTGCGCTGCTCAGAGTGTTTAACGGAAGGCGATTCGGTCAATTTCAGCTGTTGATCTCTTCATAATAGAATTCGAAGCCATTGAAATAAAGAAACAAAATAATCCCGAATGAAAATCAAGCAGCGCCTGTGTGGCTGCTCATGATTTAAAACGCAAGTAGCACCAAACGTCGAGGAAGATGTGAATGTGAACTACCATCCAAATACACGGATTGAATACATTGTAGCGGTTCTTCGATATTTGTCGCGCTTGCATTTGTTCGTTCTCTTTTGATTTTGGTTTATTTTTTCCTCTCAGTTTGGAATACTCTCTGAGGTCGGCGGGTGTACGTTGCTGTGAATAATAATAATGTCTTTATAATCGGTAACTGGCCATGCATCACGTCTTTACGATGCACGGAAGGTACAACTTTTTATGGTTAACATGTATTTTGTGTGTGTGTGTATGTGTCTCCCATCGACGATTTGTTTTGCCACACTCATTTTCATTCGGTTTCTCTACACCAAATAACAAATCGACCGAATGGTGCACGCATTGACATTTCATTCACGTGCTCCGTCGCGTTCAATCAATTATGAAAGATTCGCTTGCTGCTAGAATTGAACGATTGAATAGATATAGAGAAACAAGAAAAAAACATAAACCCCATAAACAACTCGCGCCACGCAAACAGCACACAAACTCATCACACGGCAAAAACACTTGATTCAAAATCGCTACCAATGTAATCGAATCAAAATCGAATCGTGTGAGTGCGATTGTGTGTGCGCGGGCGCGCAACGCACTGTATTCTCGACGAGAGAGTTGGCTGAAACATTAAAGTTTATCGAACGAAAATGAATTTTAAACGAAACAACAAAAAGAAAAACGGTCGATTCTTACCGGCACGAACGTTCACATCACGCGAAATAATCGAACCGAATTGATTTTTAGCCAAACATGCATAGACCTGAGCGTGCACTTCTTGACGATAATCCTCCGCTTGGAATGGTGGAAACACGAGATTGCCGTTCGATAGAACTTGCCGTAAACCGGGCACATCACCAACGGCCGTACCATCACTCTGTCTTACCCAGATGATCTCAGGGGCAGGCGTTCCCGATGCTCGACCTATGGGCAAAGTTTTTTTTTTTTTTTAATCAATGGTTGAGAAATCAATGCGATTGATGGGCTCTTTCAGAAAAATGGTTCCTTTTCTTACATTCCACGACGGCACCTGTTGAATTAGAAAAATCAATGCGATTGATAGGCTCTTTTAGAAAAACGGGTCCTTTATTTTCTTCATCGGTTGTCGCTGGTGCCGCATTTATAGCTGCAAAAAAGAAGAAAAAACACAAAAATTAGCTGCAATCTCTGAAAAAGGTTCACATTTGGGAAAAATTGGGCCTAGTTAATAAAAAGTCAAGTCGCTGGAGTGTTCAATGCTATTTTAGTATTCATCCAAAAAGTGCAGTCATTCCGTTCGAACAAAGCTTCATTATTCAGGAGTTTCGGTGACAGTGTGCATTCTTTTTCGGTTAGTGCTTCTGTCACGAAACGTTCTTAAAATAAAAACCAAACAAAACTATTCAATTGTTTCGAATGGCTTGAAGGCATGCCACACATGAGAAACCCTTTGAAATTCCTTTACGTTGCATCGAAATGTTTGTGTTCGAGAGAATTTCTACTTCACTTTCATTTCGTATTTTGGTTTGAATTTTCTTGCATCAGACATGTGCGCGTTCTTTAGAAAAATGCGTTTATTTGAAATTCGTTTGAATAACTGAAATGAATTCGACAAGTAATACGGAGGTAACATAATTTGTGGTCATCTCATAAAAAAATTGCTGTCTGTGGTGCGCCTCAAAACTGCATAATAAAATCGAAGATGGCATCGTACTGATCCCAGTTTCAGGTACATCTCTCTTTTAGTTTTTTTTTTTCTTTACATCTTCTCTATTTCTGTCAGGAACGGTTCAGGAGAAAGAGAGCGAATGTGAGAAAGATACAGACACAAAGTGTGAGGTAGAGAAAAGTGAGAGATAAGATATAACTCATTGAAAGAGAGAGAACGATACATATTTAACTCCTTGTCTTTCCCCCTTTTGACACACTGTCTCTTTCCAGAGAAACAATCATTTCATGTAGGAATTACATGGAAGAGAGTTGTATTCCGAAGAATGTGCACGACATTAGATTATTTTATCTGCCAATCTAGAAAACTCATAAATTATCTATTTAAAAAAATTTTGTTCCAGTTAATGCTAGTGACACGTTTTCGGTCTTTGTATTATGTATATTACTTAAGGAATCGCTTGATTGCTGATAATCTCCGAGATTCTCGTATGGCTCAAGGAATGAATATTCGTTTCATAACAACGAATAAACAGTCCATAATAAAGAGAAGGCTGTGTCTGTGTGACAATGATTCAGTTGCGCTACACACACATATCACAAATGCAACGCATTTTCAAACACTCATCGCAACGTCATACGAACATCGATTTCAAAAGAAAGACAAAAAAAAACGAGAACAAAAAAAAACGGTTAAAGAAGCGCATCACAGCCGCATATTAATTTCAATGTCGACCGTTCAGGTCGAATGTGAGTCAAGAAACAACACACATAAATTATATCGCTGCATTCAAATGCATTATTTTATCGTGTTTGTGTGTGTGCCATTCAAATGACGCCTCAAAACAATGATGAATACATCGCTCCACACAAATGTTATGATCATATTATTGTCTTCCACAAAACATTATTTCATCAATAATAATAATAATCAGCGGCGATGGGCCTCCAAATCGAGAAGTCTATATTTTGTATTGTTTGACATGCATAAATTGTTGAATCAGCTTGCAACACGAAGAAGAAGAAGAAGAAGCAAAAAAGGCACTTTGACTGCGACAATTGCTAAATGGGCAAAATGCATCGGTTCATTTTTTTATTTCTGCGTCGTCGCCGTTTTTCGTCTCGCTACGAAATTCTCACATAATGATGTGACAATTCAAGAAATTTAGTGTATAATAAAAGCGAGTAAGTAAATAAGTGGAAAAACGAGCTGAGTGACTCAAACAAAACAAAGACCATGCGAGAGAGCGATAAAGAGACGGAGATAGAGCATATGTAAGACGAGGTGTAAACATATATTCATGTCTTTCTATGTTGTTACTTTTATTTCGTATGTTTTCTTAATATTTCGTCGACGACAAACATCGAGAGAGAGATAGGATGCCCGATGAAAATGCATGAAGAAATTCAAAGAGTTCTAAACAGAAGGCCATTAAATTTTGTATCTTATACGGATAAAAATCGCTCGCGCGACACTGTATCGTTCGCCTTTTCGGCTTTCATCACTGTTTTTTTTTTATCTAAATTTGGTTTGTGTGTACTTTTTTTCACTTCATAACATTTTTTCAAGTCTTTTCTTCCTGCCTTTGTTTAAACTCTTTTTCGAGTTATTTTTTTTTTATTCTAGTCGCTCATTCAAGTTGGTTCTTACAAAATTGAATTTTATGGGCTTTGTTTGACGCATTGTTTACACGATGAAAAAAGTGCGTACTTACATTGAGAATTAACGATGTACGCAGCGTACAATCGAGAGAGAAGAACGAAAAAAAAATAGTTTGTTTCTATGATGCATTCAGATTGGTCTCGGTGTGTTTGTGTCGTCATCATAAGATGTTGGAATGCGCCGTTACATTTCATCATGTTTTTTTTCGCTCTTTCTTCTTATATCACACAAACACATCTCGTTGTCGCAGACAAAATTTCCTTTTGTATACAGTAAGGCACGAAGAGAATTGACACGACAAAAAAAACAATTTCTGGTCTTATCTCATTTTTTTTCTTTTGTTTATTCAACCATTATACAAATGTTGCACATGGATTTTTGGAAAGAAAACATAATAATGAATCTGGTCGCTTGGGCCAGTCAGCAGCATTCGATTTTGTCGATTTAGCTTTTATTATGCCTTTGAGAATTCTATTTTTGAATTTCGTCAAGAATAAACAATTGTCTCGAGCATTTTTGCTTCATTTTTTCGCGGTAAATGTACGTTTTTAGTGGCAGCGCATCATTCGACGATGGCACGACATGGCGCGTGCAATGAAAAAAAACTGCGGAAGTGTTTATTTTAAGAACGAAATTCCCACTTTAATCGACAACATTCAAAGTCCTAAGAATCCAAAGCCCACTATCACGAATCCAAATCGATGGGATTTTCGTTCAAAAATCGACTAAAAAAGAAGCAACGCTTGCGATGAATATGCTTTGTGGCTTTCAGTGTCAAGAGACAGACATACTATGGTCAATGAATTCCATCCAGCATAATTTCCATTTTTAATGAATTAATGCGACCGGATAATTATAAAATTATGATCGTTTAACACCATTTAGCGGACGAATCGGGAAGACGCTAGAGTAATTTGCTATGTAAAAGAAAATTCCACAATTGCATTGGTTCCATTGTGTGTTGTTTGTTAATGCAGCCGTGCGCGACGTAAAATTCAATGAGCAAAAGAAAACCGCAGTGCATTTTGAGCGGTCGTTCAGCGTTCTTGTATAGCCAAAGTGAAGATTTCTTATTCCTTCTCCGTTTTAATAGAAGAGAATTATTTACACTTCCGTTTGTCTTGAAAACAAAAATTGAATGCGACAATGGAAACAACGGAACCGTGACAGAGAAGAAAAAAAAACGAAGAAGAATCACGCATGTATGATGATTCGAGTATTTCATATGTGCCGAAGGCGCTTACATTGTAATACCAAGTGGAATGAGTTTCGCTTTTCGGGAATGGTCCGACACGAATTCAAGTAAGATTCGTTGCAAAGAGAGTAGGCGGCAGTGGCGTAAAAAACGCCAAAATTATCATCATTACACAATTCAATCAAATGTAATACCAAAGCATCCGAATGCAAACATAGAAGAGAGAACACTTCCAAAGTGTTGGGTCGATGCAATTTATGACGTTGGCTTAGAGTAGCAACAATTTTACACAGCTAAACGTAATTGAAACCTAATGGTTATCTAATAAGTTTTAACTGGACGTGATGTGAAATGCAAATGTCATGTAGCGCGCGAACATGACACATTTTCAGAATGGATGATATATATGAAGTACACACGAATGAATGTGGTGACATTCTCTCTATGGTAGTGCGTGATCAAATCTCCATTGCGCTTTTCACGACACCAAACATTGACAAAGCGAGAGAGAGAGAGAGAGAGTGAGAGTGAGAGAAATAGTGAGAGAGAGTGGGAAAGAGAAGGAGAAGAGGAAGAAGAAGAAGGATGAGAGCGAGTTAGAGAGAGAGAGAGAGAGAGAGAGAGAGAAAGAAAGAAAGAGCAAACACACTCGGAATATTATTATATTTGAGTAAATCCATCGTTTCAATTTCACTGAATACTGATTAGAAGCGTGCACACAGAACATAAACCCATTGAGAAAGTCCATTAGAGAACAAAGAGCCGAGCAATCGAAATAACAAAAAGAGCGAGAATGGAATGGCCTCCTCGGCCATTATTCATTTAGTAGTGGTTCATATTGATTTTAGTTTAGGCAGCAGCATGTATAGCACGACTCGGAAGAATCGCTGCCTTTCTCTCTCTCTCTCTCTCTCTCTCTCTCTCTCCTTCACTCTCTGACTCATCTATCAATCGAGTTTGTTCAATATACAAAATCTCAAGTGGCTCAATGAAGACATGTCTATTTACATGTTCAAAAGTAATTTTCATCGAATCGAATTGAATTCAAGCTCGAGCAAATAGCCGTTTATTTGCTGATCGCTTTTCTCAGCAAACTAATATAAAATGCACATAATTGTTGAAATGTTGTCTCGACGTCGTTGTGCCCGGATCCAATGTTCTGGATTGGTTAAATCAACACCTGACCTGACCTGCCCCGTAAAAGGGCTACAATGTTTCGTGTGAACTCATGGAGCGATTGGTTTCTTGTAAGAAAGTGATATCATCGCGTTTCGCTGTTATTCGTGGCCACCTGTTGGTGTCTAATCTATTTTGCGCTGAATCATTCCATTCCAAGCAATTCAGTTTGCTAGCCGCCGGAAGAATTTTGCCATGCAAATAGCAAATTTATTTACACTTGACTCCATTTTTACGACTCATGATTTGGACAAGCCGAAAATGAGCACCGCGCGACATTGTTCATTTCTTTTTTGCTTCAATGTGAACGGTGACAGCAACGAAATTCAGTGCATTTCATGTTTGTTCTCCAAACAAAGTTTCATTTTGTCGCAATTCACATTGAAATTGTGGTTGCTTCGATGTTCTTACATTTATATGTGGCTCATTCACCATTCGGTTTTAGCTGGTTTAAGCAACAGTTCAAACAGCAACAGACGGTTTGTGTTTTTTTTTCTTTAGAAAAAAACTGATTTTCTTCATTTATCTTAGCATGATCTTCCTTTGAAATGTGTTTTTTCCTCAAAAAAAAATGGATTTATGGACAAAGATTATACAGTTTCAGGCGACGCACTAAAACATGTACGCAAAATACTGAAGCACTGGTTGCATAGGTTATGAGGTTGCAGAACCGACGACCAAAACACCGACAACGACGATGATGATGGTGAAAAGAAAATTCAGAAACTAAGCAGCTGTCATGCAGCTGTTCATTGCTCGAACCAATCAAATCACACGCACAAAGAAATATTGAATACACAGGCTGCACAAAAGAACCATGCAGATCAATCGCAAACGGGGCGAACGAAGATGCAAGACAAACGAAAGATAGAGACGAAACATGAAATAAGTAGAACGCACTCAAAAGTTGAAATGGTTTTGTTGGCCGTACAACACATAAACAATAAATCCCTTGTTTTCAATCGTTTCGTCGTTTCCTTCTCGATTCCGTGCAAGTGTGTGAGTGTGTGAGCGCTTCATTCGATCACAAGTGCTTTGCTTTTGCTTTGACATTTTGGTTTCGTTCAATTCTTCGTCTTTTTCATTATTTCATTCGTTCTTCCAATCCATTCTGCATTAAAAGATTTATCGTGAATTTCAACAACAGCCAAAAATGAGTTCGGTTTGTCAAAATATGAAATCACCATTTATTTTGAACAATTTTTGTTTTACGCTAGCATGTGAACTAATCGAATTGAGTTGTAATGCAGAAACAAAAACGAACGAACGAACGAACGACGAATGAGTCAGTTCAAATAGAACTTAAATTCACACGTTTTCAATTCGCATGAAAGACATCGTTCGATGCAAAATGCGTGCTTATCGCCCAACAAACACTTGTGTGTGTGTCACACACAGTTTCGATATTCGTAGTTGTTGTTTGTGCGGCGGCAATAGAGAAAAAAACATCGGTTTGCCAAAGTTTAAAAAACTAGTGCATAAAATAAACACAATCACTTTAGTGTATGTATACAACTACAGTTTTATTGGAGCGATAAAATAAATAAATAGTATTGGAATTTAGGTTTTACGTATTATTGAGTTCCATTTAATCTCCGTTTAGTGGGAAAAACATTGAAATACATTTTTGAAACGGAATGATTTATTCAAGCAACAGATGCGCCATCAAAGAGCGATACACAATAGCAATTGGTGTGTTTGTACACAAACATTTCTAAATAATTCATATCGCGAGTTTAGCTTGTATTGACCGCACAGACAACTACTGGTGTCGGTGAGAGATTCTCGCAGTTTCTGCATAAGAGTGAATGAGACAGAAGAGATGATTATTGACAGTGAACCGGTACACGGATAAACACCTCTCATTTTTTGCAGACACCGAAAATTTATTTGTACATCACTTCCAAATCAGCCGTTAGAACGTTCATACGTAACATTGCTCGAATTTACTTAAAAAGAGTGTACAGCGAAAAAAATAATCGCAAATTGATCATCATCCGACGCTTTTGTTTGTGCATTTGAAGTTTAGCTGCTCAATTTTCGGCGATTTAATCATAAAACATCGTGCATCATGGCAAAGAAGGTAAATATAAATGAAAGTGAAAAAAACTGTCGATTCAAAGTATAGAAATATGATGTTCGGTTTAGCATTTCTTTCGATTTTTTGCGCTTTATAAGTGACAGATGCATTTATTGGACAAGATTGTTATCAATTTAAAGAAAATGAAGCAAATTTTTGCCCGGTAAAACCATTGAAAACTCATACATTTTGTGATTTTCATTTTCAGATGATTGACGAGAATGCAAACGAGGATGTCGAACGGGAATCAAGAATGGAAAAGGATCTAAAAATGGAAAAGGAGCCAAAAATCAAGAAGGAATCGAAGGTGAAGAAAGAATCAAAATCAAAATCAAAGAAGGAACAGAAAACCGCGATGGAAAAAAAGTCGACAAAAGAATCAAAGACCGTGGAGAATGAAATGACGCCGCCATTGAAGACAAAGAAACGTAGCACGACAAAATCAACGGCAAAAAAAGCAACAGCCACGGTCAAACTCTGGTTCGAACCAGAATGTATTTTGGGTGCAACCGATTGTTGGAACGGCGAAATGGCGTTTCGGTTCAAAGCCAAAGACAGCGACAGCTTCGAATTTGTTCCAGCCAAAGTAGCGAAGATTGCTTGCCCACAGTTGGTTATCAATTTTTACCAAGATCGTCTCGTTTTTTCCGATGATGTGTAAGGCTAGGGTAAAAATGCGATTAACAACAATTGCCATTGAATGGAACAAATAGCTCCTGTTGATTAGGTCCACTTTTTTTTACTCTATTTATCGTTATTGTTAATGTCAATTCTCTCAGAAAATATGTTTTGTGAATCAATTAAGAATCATTACATGGAATATCATACTTCCGAATTATCTAAATCTTTATGTCAGTTGAAAATATGTGACGAGAACAGTACCCGTAATGAAGTTGAAATAAAAAAAGAAGATGAAAAACTGTCGAAAAAGAAATGAAATCACCGTTCTTCTTTGTTTGAATTGAAAAATCCCATATTGAAGCCAAACGTCAAAAACACAACATGAGAGTCAATGCATCAAGGTTCTATTGCATGTGTGATGGCGATGGCGGTGGTAACGTCTCCGTTGCTGTCGACAACAACGAGTGCACAAGAGTTAAAATCGGCAAATTGGCCGTACAGAGCAGAGAAAAAAAAATGATTTTGCTGTTTTCTAAATTGAACGAATCACTCAATTATTGTGTGTATTTATTATTTTGGTTGAGATTCTTTAAATGGTTTGAATATGGAACAGCAGTGAATGTACTAAACTGCGGCAAATAACATCGACATAAGCGACAACTCCTCCCACACGTTAAATAGATCGTACATTACGACGGCGATGAGAAAAAAAAGAACATAAAAATTAATGCGATTGAAGTGAGTATGAACGAGGGAGCGAGTAAGCAGGTTGAAGCGAGAGCGAGACAGTAATAGATAAAAAGAAGAAGAAACATCAAATTGAGTGTATGCATAGCACAATGCCATTCGTTCGACCGGTTTTTATCTCGGTCTTGCTTTCTGTGTGTATGGACTGATGAAACGGTGACTGATAGCCAACGCAAAATATCTTCGATCGATCAAATCTATTGCAAACACGCGCGCGCGCCCGCTCTTTCTTGACTCTCGCAAATGCTATGTTTTTTTTCTGCGGCGCTCAAGCAAAAATGTGAATATTTCCAGCAAAAGCATTGTGGATTCAATGTTAAATTTCCAATTCTAATTGAATACATCCAGCGACTCGTTTCGTTGAATTCCGAAAGAGTGTGAGCAAAACATCAAACACTTACCAGCATTATTAATCCATATAAATATTAGCGCGAATATAATCCAATTCCTCGGTAATCCCATGTTTTCGTTTGTGTTTTCACTTATACACACAGATATCAACACAAAACACAGATGCACTTGATTTCAATGCCTTTTCTTCGATATATTCTTTTTTATCTGGCTTCTTTTTTTTTCAATCAATTTTTTCTCTTTTTTTTGCTTGTTTTGAACACACACTTGATTCTTTTTCTTTCAAATTCTTTGCTTTTTCGTGTTTTTGCTCAAAATTATTGGTCGTCGATCGAATTAATTGCAAAGTGGACACAAATCACAAATCACATACATCCATATACGTTCGATGGGGTTATCATCCAATATATCGATGAACGCCGGCTGCTAGAAAAACCCGATAACTAAATTCGATCCGAATAGTACGCGCGATACGCGACAATCACGGAACCTATTAGAATAGAAAAAAAAACAAAGTTAGTATCAATTGCTGGAAAACGAATCAAATGACTTTTCCTCATGAGAAAAGAATAACGATTGGAACACTTTGCAACGAAGATTGTTTTACGCTCACTGATTCGGGTCAGTTCAACGATATAAATTCACCGAAATTGATTTCTCACTCTAGCGTGTGCGCGTATCGATCGATAAGTGTGTAATTATGATGATTTTTTCATTCGATTTAAAGCGATCAAAGTGTAATGGCTCAATTTGTGTTTGTTGGCCCAACTCGAGCAGCAGAATCGTTAGAGAATCGCCACAATTGCTACATATACACATTGTCTGACATGATTTTTCTGTGGTTGTTGTTGTTGCTTTCGGCGTTAATTGAAATAAATGAATATCATAACGAATTTAAGACTTGAAAATGAATGAACGAAAAAAAAAACAACAACAACACATCGAAGAGCGAAGTGGCCATAAACAACAATCGGACGTTGCACTACATGTGTGGAGTAACGAGTGGTCCGGCAATAATATGTATCGCATGTGTTGTTATATATATATGTTGCGTGTTACGCGATATATTTGGCTCGTTGCTGCGGCAGCGGCAGCAATTTGATTCATTTAAATGGGCTTCTTGCATTCAAAAACTTCACAAAATGAATTTAGAGTCGGGCATTTTGAAATACGGACGATCGTTCGTTCTTTTTGTTCTCTTCATCTCTGCTTGAATTTCAAGTGAAGAGAATAGGAAATATGACGATGTGCGCGAATCTAAGGGCGTGAGGCTCTCTCTCTATCTCTCTCTCTCTTCCGAAAGTCGCAAAACAAATCATGTCATGTGTATCACTCATGCCATACATTCATTTTTATTCGGTTGTAAAAGACGACTCATACTCGGACTCTAATATTATGCTACTGTTTTGGAACGCAAATAATTTGACAGTCAACACAAAAAATTATTGCATTTTTATTGATTTGCATAAATTGTGAGTCGAAAAATAAACAAACAAATGCGTTGCGACCGTCGCCAAACCAACGAAAAATTCTGTAAACAATACGAATCAATTAATCAGCACGTCGGTATGGAGTGTGGTATCAAAGTACAGAAAAAAAAACAAACTGGCACTATTTCACGGAGCATTAATTGCTGTTAATTAATTTGATGTGTGTATAAGTTGTGCATTTCAGTCGCACACTTCAAGCGTCCGACAGAATTCTAAGCAATGACCGCTGCAAAACAGAGAGTATTCTAAGCGTATGCAATTCGACCAACCTAACCAAGAGTCGTTGCTTCACCGTAGGCTGAAGTTTTGTTTGCCAATAGAATATTGACGAATAAAATGAAACCATTTATTATGCTAATCATTCGGCATTCTTTTGCTATGCGAAAATTTGAATATGGATTTGCTTGTGTGCATTAAGCATAACGATACATCGCTTATGATAGAACCCAGGTAGATTTTTTTCTAATTAATTTAATGGATTCGAAGCGACGACCATCGCACGCGCTGGGCCCCACAGAAAAAAAAGAGAACCAAATGGGCAGAAGAAATACGGCATACTGTGTGCAAATCCCCGTTCTATTACGCTTTCATTGTAATTCGATCGGCTTTGACAGCTGGGCTACATATGCAAACAATGCTCGTAAAATTACGAGCGCGCTTCAACCGCAACCGAAACAGCAACAGAACCAGCAAAAAAAAAATCTAAGTAATTATGTGCGTCATATCAACTGAAAATGTGAACATATTTTATTTTCTTTTTGTCATCATTCAAAATATCTATAAAAAAAAACTACACCGAATGGGCTAAGAAGTGAGTGGCCGGAAAATAGAGAATAAAACATGCATTGAAATTGAAACCCGAACACGGTGAAAAAACACGGTACACACACACATCGAACAGCAACAATAACAACAGCAGCAGCACATATTAATTCGTTCGCGGCATAAACACTTCACGGGGTGTTTGCAAACGAGTTTCATCGTGGAATTGTGTGTATGTTCTTGTATCTGCCATGAATTGAGCACGGAATCACGGAGAGAACGTTGGAAAAAAAAGCCATCGTAGGCAAATGCAAAAGGCGTCCATATCTATTTCATCAGGCCGTTATTTTGTGTAGTAACCCAAATTCAAACAAAACTCGAACGAAAAAGCATAGAAACAATGTACACACACTCATTGAATTAATGAGCGAAATGTTAATACATTTAGATGGCATTTGATAGAGAGAAAGAGAAAAGGTAATCAGGAGAAATACGCAATAGATTGAATACGCGGAGTCGCGCTCATATTGTTCTGACGAGAGAATGAAAAGAACAAAAAAAAAAGTTGACAGCACCGTAATAAATAGCATGCAAATCGAGTCAGTCCAATCGAAGCAAGCGAGTGAAAAAGAAACAGGAATAATAATGGCTCGATGGATGGAAATGTCTATTTTGTACCAACACAAATACATTCAACCATATCACCACCACTTCAACCACCACAGGCAAACGCGTTTGAGTAATGTGTATGCGCGTAAAAAAAATAAACTCAAACTCATTGACATTCGGATTCTAATGGTGAGTAAATTTTTACTGTAGCCAGTAGCATCAATCTCAACCCCGTTGTGTATATGTGCGCGCATGTGTGTGTTTGTGTGCCTTAGTCGGTGCATGGCTGTGTGTTTGCGTGTGAGTGTGTGTGTGTGTGTGTGTGTGTGTGAATATTGTAGCGTGAGTTGTGTTCGAGCAAATTTTCCATTCGTATATATGGTACTGTGCGACACACAACGAGGGTGATTCACCCCAACACACAATCACCAACGCATTTGGGTTGTATTCGTTGTTCGGAGAACGATTTTACGCGACAATAGTACACACATTCGTGCAAACAAAAAAAACACAACACACGGTACATGGCTTGGGGTACGTGTTGAAATACAAACTGTTCGGATATAAATACATTGATGCCGAAGCGATATGGTTTTGTGCTCTTATACTGTATGCTCAGTGCTCAGTGCTCACACACCAGCATCAGAATATTGGATACGGGAAAAAGAAAAAGGCGAAAATGTTGATGTTGTTTTCCACACAACCGTACAAACTTCATGGATTCACTTATCCCAAAAGTAAAGTAAAAGGAACAGGAGAGAGAGAAAAAAAATATTGTAGTGTATGGATTTCATACACAATGGCCATGGCATTGTAGAATTCTTGGCAACTTTTGCCCATTTTGCTTGTGTGTGCACGTATGTGTGCGTTCTTTGTGGTACCATAAATTCACAAATCATCAGGCACACAATTCGTATCAGGATATTTTTCGCAATCTTTTTCTTTCTCTCTCTTTCTCTCTCACTCGCACACACTCGACGTCGCCAATCATCAATGTTTTGATGATGAATTTGGTTTGGAAAGATGGCACATTCTATCACTAGGAAACAATCATTAAATTGAGCCTGCGTGTATATTTTTTTCGATGGCTCATCATTGTCGCTTTAAGAGGCCTCTTTCAAATTCACGCTATTTTATGATGCCTTCTGTCTATCTATCGCTCTCTTGATTCTTTTATGATAATGATGATATCCTTCTCTCTCTCTCTCTCTCGCTCTCTCTCTCTCTCTCTCTCTCTCTCTCTCTCTCTCTCTCTCTCTCT